AGTATAAATATGATGATGATATTTACTGCTCTTGAATCCAAAAAAATGGAAAACTAAAATTAATATGAATTCACGAAAATCTACACAAATCTTGATAAATCACTATGAACATAACTCTTACATTCCATACAAATCTTTGAAAATTCTTAAAATCTTTTTACTTTTGAAATCCACAATTATTCTCCCATCTTTTATAAGATATGAACCAAAAACTTATAAATGCATGTGTGGTGAAGAGTTTCTGAACATTCATTTATCTTCTTTGAAACGTTTAGACTTAACCTTATTTTGATCTGCAAAATCATAATTTATGTAGTATTTTGCTACCATAATCATATTGGAATTATCCAAATAGACAGTGAATACATTTGACATTTTTCACTTTTTACAGCAAAATTAACCAATGATTAAGAGATGCTTCTCACAATTGTTTTATTAATAATTATAATATTATTTTATTGAATAACTAATTTTTGAATTATATTTAAAATCTGAACCAATCATAAGCTGACGAACATGAGAAACATATCTTATATTTTTTTTTAAACCGTTTTTCACTCTCTTTTTGCCTTTTTAATTTTTTTTTATTATTTTAATAATTATATACTCTGTTAGATACCATTAATTGGGTTGCCCTAAACCTATAAAGTATAAACCACAGTTTTATATTTTCTTCATTGTTATCTAGTAGTATCTAATAAACTCTCAACTCTAAAACAAATCCCCCTCCCAATTCGACCTGAAATAGTCAAAATTTTCCTCCAAAGTACAGTTTCAGCTTCAGCTATTTAATATCTTTGGGCCATAGACTCTATCCACGTGTCGAATGATAAATGGTAGTTTGTGAGACTTTCAGGGAACTAATCAAAAGAAGACAAATTGTAGTAAATTTGCACCTTAATCAACGGGTTTTTTTCTATCACATGCCTTCACATGTACACCGCGCCGCACCAGATCACTCCATCGCCTCTAGTCCCAGACATTTGACATCTCTACATGAGTCCATTTTCCAAAAGCATATAGTATTATTATTAAATTATAGTACAATTGTTGATACTTTATTTTTTTCCTGTATCAAGTAAAATAACAAAAAAAGAGCAGAAGTATCCCCCCGAACATGCACGAGGAAGCTCTGAATCACCGGAGGTAAAAGCGTAGAATACGTAGACTCTCGCATTAGAAGGAAACCAATTGCAGAAGGATCTCGAAACCCTAAGCTGTTCGTCTTTTCATTGATTGCTTGTTATTCAAGCAGGGAATCTCCGAGATCTGTGTTCTCCCCTCTGGGAATGTGCTTCTTCTTCTTCGTGGAGAACGATTAAAAGGGAAACGGTGATAATATATGAAGAGTTCTCTGAGAAGTTTCGCACATTGATGAATCAAATTCGTCGCTGGCGGAGGATTTTGATCCTCTCGCTGCTATTGCTATCCGTTTTCGCCCCGATTGTTTTCGTTTCGAATCGGCTCAAGAGCATCACTTCCGTTGGTGAGCTTCTTCTTCTCGCTCTTCTCGTTCGTCTTCCTCGATTCATTGTCTATGTTTTTTTGTCTCGCGGATGTTAGATTGATAGATATGGAAATAGTATAGTGGAGCATCATGTGTAGAGTTGCTTGATTGCGTTGGTTGAATCTCTGGAATTCCTATCGGGATACATTTGTTTGATGTGATCTCAACTTTTGGATTACGTATCTGAAAGTTTTGTTGATTTTGTTTACTGATTGTTTTCTGGCAGATAGAGGAGAATTCATTGAAGAGGTATCCGACATTGTACGTACATCCTGTGCTTAGATCCATGTTTTCATCTGTTTTGATCCTCCCCAGAAATTCATCGGCATTCTGGTTCTTTATGCCATGATTTTGGATCGTAGCTTCGCTTTATTTATCCAATTTTTCGTTTGATTTTCTCGAGAAATGAACAACTGAGATGCTACCTCTGTTCTGCAGAGATATAAGACGACGAATGATCTTAGACTTACCGCTACTGAACAGGTTTTGTTCGCTGCCACACATATTCTTTAACTTTTGTTGGAGCATTCATTTTGTTGAATTGTTTTGCTTTGTTGTAATTTAGGACGAAGAAAGCTTCAAGGAGCCTAAGCAAATTTTACAGGATCAGGAGCTAAATCATGTGGTCAGGTCTAGTCCTTCTGATAAAATTCATGACGATTCACAGTCTATTGAGGGAGACAACGCAACTGTTCTCTCAGAAACTGGTGGGGGTAATATATTTCTGATCTTGTGATTGTTTTTATTATCGACGAAGCTTTCTTATCAGTAGATACCATGGGTTTCAGGAAACAATAACAAAACCATGGAGGAACAACCAGTCGTTTCAAGGCAAACCACAACAAGCTCTGATGCAGGGGTGCGTATTTTAATTCATTCGATTTGAAGATAAAACAAACTTGAGTAGTGATTAGGTTTTGACGCAATTCACAATGAAAATCCTAGTATCTCATAATCAATCACAGGACACTTTCTTCCATGGACCTTGCCAACACTTGTGAATAAGGAACCAATGTAGACTTTGCATCAAGATAGTCAGATCACATGCTTTAGTTTTGCAATTATTATTTCTCTTGCCTTTGTCTCAGGAGAAGTATTCAGCAAAAGATATTCAACTTAATCACAAAACCGAATTTCAAACCCCTTTAGCTAAGAGTGAAAAGAATACAAGGGTTCAGCTTGAAAGAGCAACAGATGAGAGGGTAAAGGAGATCAGAGACAAAATCATCCAAGCGAAAGCCTATCTGAATTTGGCCCTACCTGGGAATAATTCCCAAATAGTGAAGGAGTTAAGAGTTCGAACAAAAGAGCTGGAACGGGCTGTCGGTGAAGCCACTAAAGATAAACATTTGTCAAAGAGGTAAGCACAGGTGACTGATCCAAAGGGATTCCTCTTCAAACCAGTAAATGAAACATTTGTTCTGATTTAGAAGAGTCTTACAGAATTGTTTTGTTTCTTTCAGCACTCCTCAAAGATTGAAGGCCATGGAACTTGCTTTATACAAGGTCAGTCGCGTGTTTCACAACTGCCCTGCCATTGCTACCAAACTCCATGCCATGACTTATAAAACCGAAGAGCAAGCTCGAGCACAGAAGAAGCAAGCAGCATATTTAATGCAGCTTGCAGCAAGGACTACCCCAAAAGGGCTTCACTGCCTCTCAATGCGTTTGACAACAGAATACTTTACCCTGGATCATGAAAGAAAGAAGCCTTTTCAACAAAGTTATAACGATCCTGATCTCTACCATTACGCTGTCTTCTCTGACAATGTTTTGGCCTGTGCGGTTGTTGTTAACTCTACAATTTCCTCGTCAAAGGTAGGTGCTTCACTTTTGTTCCCGTTCTTTCAACAGGCTCTGGTTTAGTTCCTCTATACTTGGATATCTAGACAAATGCTTTAGGCTTCTACCGTCATAGGATTTGTCCGGTTATGGAACTAGGAAAGGGAAGTCACAATTTTTGTGTTATCTGTAGTCAATGAACAACTTTGTCTTTTCTGATTAATGCTGAGATTGATTGTTACTCAGTTATCACTGAAAATCATGTCTCGAGCATCTTACACTATATCATATCATTACTTGAGCCACTTATTAATGCAGGATCCCTATTTTTGATCAAAATGGTTTATGCACGTAAGAGACTAATGCCAAGTTTCTGCTGAAGCCACACGTAATCTAACGATTCATATTTCTGCTTGCAGGATCCCGGTAAAATAGTGATACATCTGGTGACGGATTCACTCAATTACCCATCAATCTCAATGTGGTTTACATTAAACCCGGAAGGCAGAGCTACAATCAAAATCCTAAACATAGATGAAATGAATGTCCTGCCTTTGGACCATGCTCAAATGCTGGTGAAGCAAAATTCAAGTGACCCGCGATTCATTTCAGCGCTCAACCATGCACGCTTCTATCTCCCAGATATTTTCCCAGGTCTGAACAAGATCGTACTCTTTGACCATGATGTAGTAGTTCAGAGAGATCTAAGTAGACTGTGGAGCCTCGACATGAATGGGAAAGTTGTTGGAGCTGTAGAGACTTGTCTCGAAGGTGAACCTTCATATCGTTCAATGGACACACTCATTAACTTCTCAGATCCATGGGTTGCTCAGAAATTTGACCCTAAGGCTTGCACTTGGGCGTTTGGGATGAATCTATTCGATCTCAATGAATGGAGAAGACAAGATTTGACATCTGTGTACCTCAAATACTTCGACCTGGTACATCATTTACTTCCCTTTCAGTCTTCTCTGCATTAAGATTCACACTAAAACCTTGAAGCGTGTTGTTTAGTTTTTAACCTCAAAGGTCAAATTTCCGTAGAAACACACAATGATTACGTCCATCAATAGAACATCTTACATACAAGTTTGTGGATTGTGGATTTGTTTTGGTTGCAGGGAGTAAAAAGACATCTGTGGAAAGCAGGGAGCTTGCCTTTAGGTTGGTTGACTTTCTTCGGGCAAACTTTACCATTGGAGAAGAGATGGAATGTGGTTGGGTTAGGTCACGAGTCAGGAGTCAAAGCAAGCGACATCGAACAAGCGGCGGTTATACACTACGACGGGATCATGAAACCGTGGCTTGATATCGGGATAGACAAATACAAGCGGTACTGGAACATACATGTAGCTTACCATCACACATACTTACAACGGTGCAACATTCACGATTGATTTTTTTTTTTTTTTTTAAACAAAAGTTCCCACAAAAACTTTAGGTTCAATTCAATTCTTTTCTTCTTTCATTTAGCTTCATTCTTTTACGATATCTCTTGTGTAAATTTTTGTTCTTTTTGATCGATACAGCACACGAATTTTTTTCTCAGAGTTTAATGTCAGATTTAGTTCACAGCAACAGAGTGTTTGTTCGACCCTTCTTTTGGTGAACAATACGCAAATATGGATTCAGGTTATTATAAGTTTTATAGTATAATCCACCTGTAGAGAGAAGGGAGGAAAAGATTGTGTTGGAGGGAAAGAGATGAAATGTGCCACGTGTATGGACTCTATTGGTGGAGAATAGATAGAATCATATCCATGTTAGATGGCTTGTATTGGTTCGGACAGATTTTTTTCCACCACAAATTTAGTCGCTAAGCTCGATTCAAAAGCCAACACAAGCAAAGAAATCAAAGGTTGTGTTGTTGCTTGAGAACACAAACAGGGAAAGGAAACAAAAAAACACACAAATTGAAGAGAGTTGAAGCAAAATTATACAAGAGAAATGGCTAGCTTCACTGCGTCCGCTTCCACCATCTCCGTCGCTCGTCCTGCTCTCCTTCTCAAGCCCACCGTCGCCGTCTCCGCTCCTGTTCTCGGTAATTGCCTTTCCCTTCTCTCTTCATTCTTCTTACATTCTTTGTTAGATCTCATCTTATACTAGAAACTCAATCCGGTTATGTGAAAGGTGAAGATCTTTGGTTGATTATATTAGTTAAGTGATTTGAGAACTTGTATAAATCAGAAGCTTTGTTTGGTGGTGAATCAACAATTTTGATCTCAAAGTTCGATTCTGGTCAGAACCAATCATAAAAGTATTTGGAATTTTTCTGATTAAGTGTTGTGTGTGTATGAGAGTGTGATTTGATTGGCCAATCAGCAAGAACCAGTTTATCTGGATTTAATTTCCTGGTTTTGGAGTTGTGATTTTGAATAATGTTGCTCAGGTTTGCCTCCAATGGGAAAGAGGAAGGGAGGGGTGACATGCTCGATGGAGACCAAGCAAGGAAACGGCTCAGTCGTGGGTGGAGTTTCAGCGGCGGCAACGGCTGCTTTGACGGCGGTGATGAGCAACCCGGCGATGGCGTTGGTAGATGACAGGATGTCAACGGAAGGAACCGGATTACCCTTTGGGCTGAGCAACAACCTATTGGGTTGGATTCTGTTTGGAGTGTTTGGTTTGATCTGGACTTTCTACTTTGTCTACACTTCTTCTCTCGAGGAGGATGAAGAATCTGGTCTCTCACTTTGAACATGAACACTATATTATGTCCCTTAGCTTCATCAGTTTGTCTCTCTCCTTTTCCATTTTCATGTGAGGACATGAATCAACAAATTTCTTCTGGTTCCTAAAGACCCCCCCCCCCATAAAAAAAACTATTTTCCCGTGTACATCTATCTGGTTTCAAATTCACAATCTGTCCAATTTTCACTAAAATAATGATTATTAAAGATAAAAAAAAATCTTAAGAAAATCAAACGATTGAATAGAATGAATAAGAAAATACGTAGACAGGGGTAAAGGCAGAAATTATTTTTATAAGGGGTAATATTAAAATTATTTAAAGAATTAAAGTGATATTACTGAAATTATATATAATTTATATGAGATTTTAACAAACTGGGATCAAATGCCCTCCTCTTGTATGACGTGGCTCCGCCAGTGTATGTAGAGAGTGTCTCATAATTAATGAACTTATTTAAATTCTCCGATACATCAGAAAATAGTAGTTTCTTGATGAACTTATTGTCGTAAAAGCAAAAGAGGAAATCTAGGACGGTCTATGAAGTAGAAACCCATAAAATCTATAAAGATTAAATAAAAAGACTCAAAATATTATATTAAATATGTTAAATTTAGATTAACAAAATTTATATTATATGATACTAGGAATAGGATCCCTGCTTCGTGGGTTTAATCTGTGATACATTTATTTCTTGTAAATTTAAGTAAAGACCACAAAAAACAATTTTCCTGTGTACATCTATCTGGTTTCAAAATGATTCACAATCTGTCGAATTTTCACTAAAATGATGATTATTAATGATAAAAAAAATCTTAAGAAAATCAAACGATTGAATATAATGAATAAAAGAGTACGTAGACAGGGGTGGAGGCAGAAATTATTTTTATAGGGGGTAATATTAAAATTGTTTAAAGAATTAAAGAGATATTACTGAAATTATATATAATTTATATGAGATTTTAACAAAAATACTGGGGTCAAATGCCCTCTTCTTGTATGATGTGGCTCCGCCAGTGTATGTAGAGAGTGTCTCATAACTAATGAACTTATTTAAATCCTCTGATACATCAGAAAATAGTAGTCTCTTGATGAACTTATTGTCGTAAAAACAAAATAGGAAATCCAGGACGGTCTATGAAGTAGAAACCTATAAAATCTATAAAGATTAAATAAAAAGACTCAAAATATTATATTAAACGTGTTAAATTTAGATTAACAAAGTTTATATTATATGATACTAGGAATAGGATCTCTGCTTCGCGGGTTTAATCTGTGGTACATTTATTTCCTGTAAATTTAAGTAAAGACCCAAAAAAAAACCTATTTTCCTGTGTACATCTATCTGGTTTCAAAATGATTCACAATCTGTCAAATTTTCACTAAAATGATGATTATTAAAGATAAAAAAAAATCTTAAGAAAATCAAACGATTGAATATAATGAATAAAAGAGTACGTAGACAGGGGTGGAGGCATAAATTATTTTTATAGGGGGTGATATTAAAATTGTTTAAAGAATTAAAGGGATATTACTGAAATTATATAGAATTTATATGATACTTTAACAAAAATACTGGGGTCTAATGCCCTCCTCTTGTATGATGTGGCTCCGCCAGTGTATGTAGAGAGTGTCTCATAACTAATGAACTTATTTAAATTCCTCCGATACATCAAAAAATAGTAGTCTCTTGATGAACTTATTGTCGTAAAAGCAAAATAGGAAATCCAGGACGGTTTATGAAGTAGAAATCCATAAAATCTATAAAGATTAAATAAAAAGACTCAAAATATTATATTAAATGTTTTAAATTTAGATTAACAAAGTTTATATTATAGATACTAGGAATAGGATCCCTGCTTTGCGGGTTTAATCTGTGGTACATTTATTCCTTGTAAATTTAAGTAAAGACCCAAAAAAAAAACTATTTTCCTGTGTACATCTATCTGGTTTCAAAATGATTCACAATCAGTCGAATTTTCACTAAAATGATGATTATTAATGATAAAAAAAATCTTAAGAAAATCAAACGATTGAATATAATGAATAAAAGAGTACGTAGACAGGGGTGGAGGCAGAAATTATTTTTATATGGGGTAATATTAAAATTGTTTAAAGAATTAAAGGGATATTACTGAAATTATATAGAATTTATATGAGATTTTAACAAAAATACTGGGGTCAAATGCCCTCCTCTTGTATGACGTGGCTCCGCCAATGTATGTAGAGAGTGTCTCATAACTAATGAACTTATTTAAATCCTCTGATACATCAGAAAATAGTAGTCTCTTGATGAACTTATTGTCGTAAAAGCAAAATAGGAAATCGAGGACGGTCTATGAAGTAGAAACCCATAAAATCTATAAAGATTAAATAAAAAGACTCAATATATTATATTAAATGTGTTAAATTTAGATTAACAAAGTTTATATTATATGATACTAGGAATAGGATCCCTGCTTCGCGGGTTTAATATGTGATACATTTATTCTTTGTAAATTTAAGTAAAGACCCAAAAAGAAAACTATTTTTCTGTGTACATCTATCTGGTTTCAAAATGATTCACAATCTGTCAAATTTTCACTAAAATGATGATTATTAAAGATAAAAAAAAATCTTAAGAAAATCAAACGATTGAATATAATGAATAAAAGAGTACGTAGACAGGGGTGGAGGCAGAAATTATTTTTATAGGGGGTAATATTAAAATTGTTTAAAGAATTAAAGGGATATTACTGAAATTATATAGAATTTATATGAGATTTTAACAAAAATACTGGGGTCAAATGCCCTCCTCTTGTATAACGTGGCTCCGCCAGTGTATGTAGAAAGTGTCTCATAACTAATGAACTTATTTAAATTCCTTCTATCCATCAAAAAATAGTAGTCTCTTGATGAACTTATTGTCGTAAAAGCAAAATAGGAAATCCAGGACGGTCTATGAAGTAGAAATCCATAAAATCTATAAAGATTAAATAAAAAAACTCAAAATATTATATTAAATGTTTTAGATTAACAAAGTTTATATTATATGATACTAGAAATAGGATCCCCGCTTCGCGGCTTTAATCTGTGGTACATTAAAGATTAAACAGAAATTAATTTAAAATAATTATAAGTAAAATATAAAATATAAAGTAATAATAAAAAATATAAACGTCTAAAACAACTTATAATTATTAAAAGAAAAATATATCTTTCATTTTTAAAAAATTATTAACAATAAGTTCTAAATGGAAATTTACAAAACTAATTATGATAAAAATATGTAAAGTTTTACAATATTTTCTAGGATTTTTTTATCACTAATTATTAATAGAAAAAAAACTGAAAAGTAATAAGATACACAACTTTTTAAGAGTGTTAAAAAAAGTTATATATGAAAATATACAATATGAATATATGATATTAATATGCGATCTTCTATTTGTATAATTATTAAAAAATTGTATTCATGCAAAAATATAAAGTAAAAAATAAAATTTGTGGCAATCTTAAAAAAAATAGTTTATAAAACTATACATTTATTATTAAAAAGTTAGAATAATTATGATAAAAATTTGATATTTTTAAAACATACTACCAGAAATATATATAATAAAAAATGATGTAACGAGATTTTATAATGTATTTTCTAAGATTACTATAGTTTCTAAAAAAGATTCGGAATATTAAAAAGTACATTACAAATATATTAGTTAAAATATATAAATAAACTTTGATACATTAAAAATACATATATAAAATATATCTGAATTGGTTACATTACATAAATATATTACTCTGAAATTAGAAAAAAAGAATCCAAATATTAGGTACCTTAAATTTATAAATAACTAACAAAGAATATTAAAATTTGAAAATAACACAATTAACTATAAATATATAGATGTTTTCATGAAAAAAGAAACGTAATATATATTAGTAAACAAAATACATATAATTTCTTTATAGTAAAATTATCATTAGATTTCAGATTAATAAATTTTATTTTTTCTGATGTAATGCATATAAAACAATCTTGTAATGAAACTGCTCATATATAAAAATACATATGTAAAATATATGTGAATTTGTTACATTACATAAATATATTTCTTTTAAATTAGAAACAAAATTCAAATATTAGGTACCTTAAATTTATAAACAAATGACAAAAAATATTAAAATTTGAAAATAACACAATTAACTATAAATTTATAGATGTCTTTCATAAACAAAAAAAAATAAATAACATAATATATATTAGTAAACAAAATACATATAATTCTTTATAATAAAATTATCATTATATTTTGGTTTAATAAATTTTATTTTTTCTGATGTAATGCATATAAAACAATTTTGTAATGAAACTGCTCATATAAATTTTAGCCAAAACTGGACTCCTAAATAAAATTTTTTTTATTCAGATTCAATATCTGGACCTTCGGAACTTTTAAACATTTTGTATCCTGATAACATATTATGATAAATAAATATGTTTACGACAAAAAAATAACCACCATAGTAAGAAATTAAAAGTTAGATCCAATGATTTTATTTCTCTGGTTTTGAGTAATATAAATAGTTTTGAAAAGACACAAATAACAGTTATGAAGAAAAAATACAACCATTTGTAATGAAAAAATACAACATTTGTAATAAATTTTGAAACGACACATCTTTTCAAAGTGTAAATGGCATGTATTCAGATTGTTAACAAAAAATTAAATAACATAATATATATATATATATATATATATATATATATATATTAGTAAACAAAACACATATTACTTTTTATCATAAAATTATCATTAGATTTTGGTTGAATAAATTTTATTTTTCTGATGTAATGCATGTAAAACATTGTAATGAAACTTATCATATTTTAGCCAAATCGGACTCCCAAATGAAATCTTTTACTCAAATTCAATATCTGAACCTCCAGGACTTTTAAACACTTTGTATCCTGATAATATGTTATGATATATAAATAAAAACTCCACTATAGTAAGAAAGTAAAAGTTAGATTCAAATATTTTTTTTTCTGTGGTTTTGAGCAATATAAATAGTTTTGAAAAGATACAAATAACAGTTGTGATGAAAAAATGCAATTATTTATAATGAAAAGATGCAATCATTTATCATGAATAGATATAACTACAAATTTTGAAACGACACAACTTTTTAAAGTGTAAGTGGCATTTATTCGGATTGTTTAAGACAAAAAATCCCACCATAGTAAGAAATTAAAAGTTAGACCTAAATGATTTTTTTTTTTCTGTGGTTTTGATCAGTATAAATAGTTTTTAACAGACGCAAATAATTTGTGATGAAAGAAGGCAACCATTTATAATGAAAAAATGCAACTATTTATAATTGAAAGAAGCAACCACAAATTTTAAAACGACACAACTTTTTAAAGTGTAAATAGTATTTATTCGGATTGTTAACAAAAAATTAAATAACATAATATATAATAGTAAACAAAACACATATTATTTCTTTATAATAAAAATATCATTAGATTTTGGTTGAATAAATTTTATTTTTCTGATGTAATGCATGTAAAACAATTTTGTAATGAAACTGCTCATATTTTAGCTAAAATTGGACCCTCAAATGTAATCTTTTACTCAAATTCAATATCTGAACCTCCTGTACTTTTTAACATTTTGTATTTTGATAATATATTATAATAAATAAATAAGTTTATGACAAAAAACCACTATAGTAAGAAAGTAAAAGTTAGATATAAATGATTTTTCTGTGGTTTTGAGCAATATAATTAGTTTAAAAAAAACACAAATTATAGTTGATGAAGAAACACAACTATTTATAGTGAAAAGAGGCAACCATAAATTTTGAAAAGAAATAATTTTTCAAAGTGCAATTAACATTTTTTCAGATTATTATTATATATAGACTAGTAATATGTTAATGTTACCACTATATATATATATTTTATTCTTATATCACATACAACTCAATAATTTACCTTATTCTATTATATTTTAAATGGTAGCAAAGCGTTTCATTCTTCGGAATTAAAATTTAGTTTTCGCAAAGACAATAATAAAAAAATATTGACGATGCAGATAGTGAAGATTGAGAGTTTTTTTTATATGTTTATGATAGCATTACAAGCATTTTTTTTTTAAGTTTAAGTTTTCGATTTTTTTTAATAATACTAGGTTTTGGTTTTCAATCATTTATTTTTAATAATTCAATGTTCTATGGTTTGTTCATGAGATCTTTATGATAATTAAATTTTGAAGGTTTGGGTTTTCACAATTTTTTAATATTTTCAATTTTTTGAGATTTATTCTTATTTAAAATTTCTCATAGTTTTTTACATTTTTTGGCTTCTTTTAGGTCATTCTTAATCTAATTTAAAGACTTCCATGATAAGGACAATTATCTCTGGAGTTGCAGAAGTTTACACCTACATAATGTTATTATTTTCTTTCTCTTTCAAGACCAAAGACGAGCTAAAGTTTCACCCCTATGAAGATTGAAGTTTATACCTGTAGGAGTCCGTTGACTTGTATGTCCGTCGTCGATATGATTGTCCACGACATACATATTCTGTTTGATGATTTTGCATATCACGTTTGTCATGCAGGGGAGTATTGGAATAACTTGGGATGCAAAATATGTATTTTGCGTCTATGAAGTGAAGCTCATAAAACCTATAAAGACTAATTGGAAAAACTCAAAACATTATATTAAATGTGTTAGATTTACATTAGTAAAATTTACATTATATGGTGTTACCGATATATTAATGATAATCACTATATATATATATATATCTTATTAATTATCAGCATAAATTATTCAATAAGAATATATTACTATTCTATAATATTTTAAAATATTGTTTTATTTTTCTTTTACTTTAAACTTTTTATTTTTGATTCAACAATTTTACTAAATTCAAAATTCAAGAAAGCCATGCACCATATAATTAATTAACAAAAGAGGATTGAAGATGAAAAATGAAAAAAATAATTTTATTTGATAATTAATAATATTAGATAATATATTTTGTTATAACAGCCATCTTCACTGCATAGGTATCGAATATGCAGAACAGAATCACTTGCTACCATATCCTATCTGCTATCATGCAGATTACCAAAGTAACCTTTTGGGTCACTCTCAAAGTTATCTTTTGATATATAATATTGCTTTCCGGAGCTACCATGTACTGTAAAAACTCTATAAATTAATAATGTTGAGACTTTAATATTTTATTAATTTCTAAAATTATTAATTTATCAATTTTAAATAAAATATATTGTTTATTAAGAATTAATTAAAAATAATATTTTTAAAAAATTTATAATTTATTCCAAAATTTTCATTATAAAATTAGAGATAAATGATAAAAATATTTCAATTTTAATATGATAAACAACAATATACTTGTATATTAATAGATTATCATAATTATATATTTATATAAAATTATTTTATATAATATTTATTAATTTATGATATAATAAGACTATATTTTACATAAATTTTTAAAAAATTTATTATATTATTAATTTATCAATTTATATTAAAGTTTGAACCGTTCCGACTCGAGACTGAGCTATATTATTGATTTATTAAGTTTATTAACTAGTCGAATATTAATTTATAGAGTTTCTACTGTAGCATCTTCTTCCACCACTGCCACCACTTCTCCCTCCACCACCACCAGCGCTCCTTCCTCATCTGCTACCGCCACCACCACCACCACCACTCCTTCCTCCTCCACTGCCACCACCACCACCATTCCTTCCTCCTCTGCTGCCACCATCACCGCTGATCTTTCCTCCTCTGCTGCCATCACCACCATTATTATCACCGTTCCTTCCTCCTCCACTGCCACCACTACCACCACCACTCTTTCCTTCTTTGCTGCCACCACCACCACTCTTTCCTTCTTTACTGCCACTACCACCACTCTTTCCTTTTTTACTGCCACCACCACCAACCACTGCTCCTTCCTCCACTGCTACCACTTCTTCTTTTCATTTTTTGTGGTTTAGTTAATTATACTGATGAGTGATTTTTAAGATTTGTATGAATGATAAATGAAAGTAAAGAGAATGAAGATATTTTATAGTAGGCAAAAAATTCAAATTGTGTTTAAGAAATATTAATATTTTATTAATTTATAAAGTTATTAATTTATTAATTTTGAATAAAATAAATTCTTTAGTAATAATTATTTAAATAGTATTTTTTAAAAAGTTATAATATTTTATAAAATTTTATTATTAAATTAAAGATAAATTGTAAAAAAGAATTAATTTTAATATGAAAACACAATATATTTATATTTTAATAGAATATCATAATTATATATTTATATATTTTATATACTGGTAATTTGATAATACTGACCATTCCCGTTCAAGAGAAGATAAAACATGGTTTTTGTTCAATTCTTTAACGTGCGTTTCCAAAAAGATATCAAACAAATTTTTCCTTGAATTAACCCAAGAAGCAAGGAGGTGATGCTTATTTATGTCGCTTATACCTCACACATTAAAAAAAATATATCTAAAAAAAAAAAAAAAAAACGAGCACCCTTTTAAGAGCACCTTTTAATAAAACAATTTAATAACTCGATTGGTACAAGTGGTTAAGCAACGTCTTGGTTCAGTTACGGTTGGGAGGTTCAATTCTCAAATTTACTATGTATTTAGTTAACATTTTACCAAAAAAAAAAAAAAAAAAAAAAAAAGCGGTGTAACATAGAAGATTTAAAGATGGCTTGCCAGAGGAAAACCACCACCTCTGACCGGTGAATTTTGAGCATGAAGCTTTCTCTTCTTCTTTGATTTCTCTTTTGAAGAAGAGGATGAGGGAGACGAAGATCTCGGATGTACTAACGAAGCTGAATGGATGGTGAGAGCCATATCATCTACCAAGGTAGCGTCTTCCGAGTCTTGGTTTAGGAGCTCAAACGAGTTTGCAGCAAGGATTTTCTGGACAGATGTCAGAGCACTCGAAAACATTTTTGCATAAAGCGTATTTGCTGCTGCAGCAATGAAACTTTGTCCTCAACTGTAGCAGAAGGAGACTAAACCGTGGCAGTAGCAACAACACTTCCCAAATTTTAACACTCTTCGCAGGAGTTTTTATAAGAGTAACCACCCCTAACTGAACAAATGCCGGTAAATCAAAATGAAAAACTTGTGAGTCCGCAGGCTGGGAATATGAATGTGGAGTATCAACATTTGGAGGAGCCACATTTCTTGACGGCTCCGAAGATAATGGAGCATTAAGAACAGTACCAAAAATTGGTAAACAAAGACTTAGCACCTATCTCCGAGTAAGAGACTGGAGCCAGAGGAGCCGGCGCGGGAACAATCCGAGGGGAAAAGGAGCCATCTGACATAACCACATCCGGCAAAGGAGGAGGCGTCTAAGAGAGCAGCACTGAGGAGGGGGCGGGAGGAGGATGGAGGAAGAGCAGATCCGGCGGAATTGGAAGAACTGTCGGTGAATCCGACGGACCCGACATCGAAAAGAATAACGAGTTTTCCTCTTGATAACAAAATTAAGGTAAACAAATCATTTTAAAAAATTTCTTAAAAATTATGAAAATCTCAAAAATTCTTCATTTAAAAAAATAAAGGAAGTAAATGATATAACAACAACAAAAAATACTACAAAACATAAAGTTACAAATGTTAAATTACAAACAATTAGAATTAAAATTTATAAAAAAAAAACACCGCATATATACGCTACGCTGGATATTCATCTAGTAAGACTAAAAGTGAAAAACAGGCATCATTTTTTTTGATCATTATTAGATCATATATTCGGTGATAACAGTCATCATTTTATATGTGAGTCTCCAGATGAACTTATTCCATGATAAAAGCAGCATATATTTATATTTTATTTTTCTGTTACTTTAAACTTCTTATTTTTGATTCAATAATACTATTAAACTCAAAATTCAAGAAAGCCATGCACCATATAATATTATAATCAACAAAGGAGGATTGAAGACGAAAAGAAAAAAAAAAGCATCATTTTATTTGATCATTATTAGATAATAGATTTGGTGATAACAATTATAACGAAATACAGAGACCAAAGTTACTTGCTACCCTGTCCGCTACCATGCAGATTATCAAAGTAACCTTTTGGGTCATTCTCAAAGTTATCTCTCGATATGTAAGAAGACCCATTGCTTCCCGGAGCTACCATGTAGCCTCCTCCTCCACCACCGCCACCACCTTTCCCTCCTCCTCCACCACCACCACCGCCGCTCCTTCCTCCTCCACCGCCACTACCACCGCCTTTCCCTCCACCGCCGCCGCCACCTTTTCCTCCTCCACCGCTACCGCCTTTTCCTCCCATTCTTTGTTGTTAAGCTAGATATACTCTTGAGAGATTTTAAAGATTTGTGTGAATGGTAAATAAAAGTGAAGAGGATTGAGATATTTATAATAGGGAAAATTTTCACAACGGATGGTCAAAACTAGTCTATCCCAATAATACGATTTATTATAGTCGTTGCATTGTGAATCTATTGAGTCACACCCAATCGCCTCGTAAACGTAAGTAGTATCCACTCGTAAAGGAAATAGAGTCAGCCTCGGAAGATCAACATAACCTGTGCACGCATCATAGTGTCACCATCTTTGTTTAATCTGTTTTTTTTTTAGTCTTAGAATTATTTTTACACAAAAACTCAGTAAAATGATTGTTAAGTAAATAAAATTAAATAGATTTCGGCTTTATTTAGTTATAACAATTCTCCCAAATGATATACATCAAACATCTCTACGAAGAATCTTATTTAATGGGTAGTGTATAACTTTCAATTGGTTTTCTAAACCTGTTACATGTTTATGGTTTTGAAGATATCAATGTGATTTTGTAATGAGATTAATGGATGCTGGTGCCTGATGGTCAAGAAGATTGGGCTACAAGCAAGTAAAATTGACCAATACAAGTCTCTGCTTAGTGAATTGATCTCATCAAAATTTTAGTATTGATACCGATAGGATCGGATACTGAGTTTCTCGTACCACTTGAACGTTTACAAGGGTCAACAAAAACACAGTGGATTGCATGTGAATATTGCCATGATAACACAGGAAAGCGAAAACAAAAGTTTCTTCTTCCATCACATAATTAGTGGAAATTATATTTTCTTAAAACTATTAAATTAGTATACTTATTTATGAAATTTTTATTTTTTTTAAATATTAAGTAAAACTAATCAATACAACAATAACACTCAAGTCTCTCCATAAGTTGACACATCAGATTTTTTAATCTTTGAAAAACTGACATCTCAGCTATTTTACAAACCAATCAAATTAAAACATTAATACAACTCATCTACTTATTTTAATTTTTAAATTTAAACCCATTAAAAACCCATATACATTTTTTGTTAATAATTTGTTTTATTTTCTAACAAACCAAAATCCAAATAATAAATAACAAAAAAAATCTTTGTTTTATTGTTTGCCAAATCTAAGTCCAAATAATAAATAACAGCAAATAAAAAAAATTAAATCTTTGTTTTATTTTTTGCCAAATCCAAACCCAAATAATAATTAACAGCAAATAAATAAATAAAAATTTAGCTATTTGTTTGTTCGACAGAGACGTATGTGATTGAAAAAGTGTAGGCTCATCATCAACTATGTTTCTATAACAACAACGCAAAAAGCCTTTTGTTATAAAAAGCTCACACATCAGCAAAAATTTGAATCAATAAAATATAACAATAATACATATCATTAACACACTAATAAAATCAGTTTACTATTTTGCAGATCCATTAAAAAGCCCAAAAGTTTTAAAAAAATGAAAGTCGAAAGCAAATGAGGAAAAGCTCAGACCACCATAACTTGGAGATTCGCATTTCCAGTGGTTACTGAGAACAAATTTTCATTGGTTTAGCGGGAATAGGGAATTCATTGGTTTCGGTAGAAAAATGTGATTTTCAGTTTTACTAGGAAAACATAATTTCTTGGTTATGGCGGAAAAAAAGAATTATCGGGTTTGGCAGAAAAATGTGAATTTTTTGTTTGGTGAGAAAACAAAAAAAAAAATTATTTTGACCCGAAAACAAAATAACTTAGTTTTGACAAAAAAAATGCTAGGGAAATGCAACTTTTCAATTGAAAAAAATACGATTTCTTGGTTTTGATAGAAAATGAAAATTTTCTGATTTTGATGGATAATGTGATTTCTTGATTTTTGCGGGAAAATGTGATTTTTTAGTTTTCGTGGGAACTTGTAATTTGACGATTTTGGCGGAAAATGCAATTTCTCAGTTTGATGGGAAAACAAAATTTCTTGATTTTGGAAGGAATAAGCAATTTCTCGGTTTTGATGGGAAATGCAAATTTTCAGTTTTTGACATATAATGTGATTTTTTGGTTTTCACGGTAAAATGCGATTTCTTAGTTTTCACGGAAAAGATAATGCAATTTTTGGTTTTCGCGAGAAATTGTAGTTTATCAGTTTTGGTAGGAAGGCCTGATTTTTGGTTTGATGATTGTTTTTTTGGCGAGAATTGACGATTTCTCGATTATCATGGGAAAATGTTTTTTTTTGTCTTGGTGAAAAAAATTTGATTTCTCTATTTTGACGGGAAAACACTGGTTCTCACAGGAATATATAGTTTTTTGGTTGTTGCGGGAAAATGCAATTTCTTTGCTTTGGTGTGAAAATGAAATTTCAGGTTTGACGAGAAAATGAATGTTTTTGATTTTGGCGGGAATAGGTGAAATAATTTTTTTTTTGTCGGAAAGTGCGATTTCTCAGTTTTTTTTAAAATAATAATTTGCTTTATATAATTTCAAAGGAGGATCAAGTGGCAATTTAATAGAGATAACAAATTATATTTGCCATTAGTATAAAGGTACTTAAAAATGTATTGTTTTATTCTTACATATACATTTATAGATAGTTAGCTAAAAAAATTTGATAGTAGATTATAATTTTGAAAAATAAAAAAATTTAAGGATATATAATGTTTATTCAGATTTAAAACATATAAATACATAACTTAAGCTAATAAAAAATAAATATAATACTCATTTACATTATAAAAATAATTTTATTATATTAGAAATATATACAAAATCTAGAAATATATTCCTCAGCGTAGCGCGGGTATATACATAGTAATATTAAATCACCAGACGATCCTAATTTCAACAGGTTTACTTAACAGATTGTACTAAACACGAGCTAAAAGGAAAATAGGGTTCTGCGCGAGATTGGGTGATATGGGGAAGGAGCAATCCTTCGGACCACCGTCTCTGATGACGTCACTTCCCGAAGACATCATTGTTGACATCTTAGCGCGAGTATCGAGATGCAACTATCCAACTCTTTCCCTAGTTTCTAAGCACTTCCGATCACTCGTTGCGTCGCCTGAGATATACGCCAGACGGTCTTTGTTGGGCTGCACCGAACACTATCTCTATTTTGTCCTATATGATAGAGACAACGGTTATCACCGTTGGTATATTCTCAACTGGAAAGCCAACAGCAATAGCCGCTTCGTCCTTATCCCATCGCTTCCCCATATACCTTACGATGGAAGTTTTGTTGCGGTGGGTTCGAGGATATATGTGTTTGGTGGGACTAACAAACACAATATGACAACGAGTGCGTTAACCATCGATTGTAGATCTCACACGGTGCAACCTCTCCCCAGCATGCCTGTGCCACTGTATTATGCAACCGCTGACATCATCAACGGGAGAATTTACGTAGTTGGAAATCGCAATTATTATCACAGGGAGAAGACGATGGTGGTGTTTAATACAGAAACACAAACGTGGGAGGAGCCTGCGATTATAGAGCCAGACATCGAGCTAGATTACATGGATTATGGGTGTGTGGTGATGGCTGATAAGCTGTACACGAGGGATGTTCATAACAGCTTTGTTTACGATCCAAAGAAAAATAAATGGGAAACTGACGAGATGCTGGATAGAAAGGTGTGGAACAATGCGTGTGTCGTCGACGACATATTGTACTACTTTGATTGTGATGAGAAGAGTTTAAGAGAGTATGATCCAAAGCAGAGGTGTTGGGGAGTGGTGAAAGGTGTGGAAGAATTGTGGGCCAAGACAAGACTTGCATGGTGGTCAAAGACTGTGAGTTACGGTGGGAGACTGGCTTTGTTTTGTAACTTTAAAGAAGAAGAAAGAAAACAAGAGATTTGCTGTGCGGAGATATCGCTGGAAAGACGTCAAGGAGGAGAGACTTGGGGTCAAGTTGAGTTTTGTGGTCATGTTTTGACTGGCAATTTTATCTTGGCGAAGAAACCTCTAGCTCTTATGCTTTGATGCAGGAACTCTCATTCATATAATTCTCTAGCTGTTATGGTTTAATGCAGGAATTTTAGCTTTAGGAATACTCTAGCTGTTATGGTTTAATGCAGGAACTATATAATTCTTGTGTTTTGATTTTTTTTTTAACTGTTTTGTCCAAACTCCTATATGACTTTTCTTTTCATTACTGATTTTGTTACCTATCTGTTGGCCGTAGGTTTTTAAGTAATATTTGGAGAGTTATTTATGTAGTTTGATTTTCATGTTTACTACATGCTTAACATATATTATGTCAATAAGAGGGTGTAATAAGATTTGTCAAGAAATCATGATAAATTCAGCCTTCTTCCTCAGTAACTGGGAATACATGCATGAGTTTATCTTCTTATCTGTTTTCTGTTTCCACAAGAGATGTTGTACGCATCGCGGCGTGATATTTTTGATATCTACCATATGATATGGGTAATACATTATTGGAATACATTATACATACATGCATGATGCGAAGATTACATGTGAGTATATCAGTTAGATTTCAAGAGAAGCATTAAGAAGAAAGTTTAATGTTATTCTCTGTTATCTCTTTAAGAAAATTTAGAATGAAAGGAGGAGGCGTCTGAGAGAGCAACACTGAGGAGGGGGAGGGAGGAGGATGGAGGAAGAGCAGATCCGGCGGACTGGACATCGAGAAAGTAAAGAGAATAGAATAACGAGTTTTCCTTTGAAAATCTCAAAAGTTCAGGGAGTAGATGATATATCAACAACAAAAACACTACAGAATATAAGTTACAAATCTTAAATTACAAACTATTAGAAATTTTATTTTAAAAAAAAAAAACACTGCATGTATACGCTGGGTATTCATCTTAGTATAGACGAAAAGTGAAAAACAGGCATCATTTATTTGATCATATATTCGGTTATAACAGCCATCATTTTATATGTGAGTCTCCTGATGAACTTATTCCATGATAAAAGCAGCATATATTTGATATTTTATTTTTCTGATACTTCAAACTTCTTATTTTTGATTTAATAATACTACTAAACTCAAAATTCAAGAAAGCCATGCACCATATAATTAACAAAGGAGGATTGAAGACGAAAAGTGAAAAAAGCATCATTTTATTTGATCATTAATCATTATTAGATAATAGATTTGGTGACAACAGCCATCTTCGAAATACAGAGACCAAAGTTACTTGCTACCCTGTCCGCTACCATGCAGATTATCAAAGTAACCTTTTGGGTCATTCTCAAAGTTATCTCTCGATATGTAAGAAGACCCATTGCTTCCCGGAGCTACCATGTAGCCTCCTCCTCCACCACCGCCACCACCTTTCCCTCCTCCTCCACCACCACCACCGCCGCTCCTTCCTCCTCCACCGCCACTACCACCGCCTTTCCCTCCACCGCCGCCGCCACCTTTTCCTCCTCCACCGCTACCGCCTTTTCCTCCCATTCTTTGTTGTTAAGCTAGATATACTCTTGAGAGATTTTAAAGATTTGTGTGAATGGTAAATAAAAGTGAAGAGGATTGAGATATTTATAATAGGGAAAATTTTCACAACGGATGGTCAAAACTAGTCTATCCCAATAATACGATTTATTATAGTCGTTGCATTGTGAATCTATTGAGTCACACCCAATCGCCTCGTAAACGTAAGTAGTATCCACTCGTAAAGGAAATAGAGTCAGCCTCGGAAGATCAACATAACCTGTGCACGCATCATAGTGTCACCATCTTTGTTTAATCTGTTTTTTTTTTTAGTCTTAGAATTATTTTTACACAAAAACTCAGTAAAATGATTGTTAAGTAAATAAAATTAAATAGATTTCGGCTTTATTTAGTTATAACAATTCTCCCAAATGATATACATCAAACATCTCTACGAAGAATCTTATTTAATGGGTAGTGTATAACTTTCAATTGGTTTTCTAAACCTGTTACATGTTTATGGTTTTGAAGATACAATGTGATTTTGTAATGAGATTAATGGATGCTGGTGCCTGATGGTCAAGAAGATTGGGCTACAAGCAAGTAAAATTGATCAATACAAGTCTCTGCTTAGTGAATTGATCTCATCAAAATTTTAGTATTGATACCGATAGGATCGGATACTGAGTTTCTCGTACCACTTGAACGTTTACAAGGGTCAACAAAAACACAGTGGATTGCATGTGAATATTGCCATGATAACACAGGAACGTGAAAACAAAAGTTTCACCCATCACATAATTAATGGAAATTAATTTTCAAACTAGTATACTCATTTATGAATTTTTTATCTATCTATAATAACAATTATGGTTTATGTTTTTTCATTATAAATAGTTGCATCTTTTCACTACAAATGATTGCTTTTCTTCATCAACTATAATTTGTGTATTTTTCAAAACTATTTATATTGCTCAAAACCAAAGAATCATTTGGATTTATCATTTACTTTCTTACTATAGTGAGGTTTTTTTTTAATTTTGTCGTAAACTTATTTATTTAACATATCATATTATTAGGATACAAAGTGTTTAAAAGTCCTAGAGGTTGAGATATTAAATTAGAGTTAAAGATTCTATTAGGGGGGGGGTCTAATTTTGGCTAAAATATGAACAGTTTTATTACAAGATTATTTTACATGCATTACATCAGAAAAATAAAATTTATTCAACCAAATCTAATGATATTTATATTATAAAGAAATTAGATGTGTTTTGTTTACTAATATATATTATGTTATTTATTTTTTTGTTAACTATCCGAATAAATGCCATTTACACTTTAAAAAGTTGTGTCGTTTCAGAATTTGTGGTTGCGTCTTTTCATTATAAATGGTTGTATATTTTCTTTATAAATGGTTACATTTTTGCATCACAACTATTATTTGTATCTTTTCAAAACTATTTGTACTGCTCAAAACCACATAAAACTTATGTGAGTCTAACTTTTACTTTTTTACTGTGGTAGTTTTTTTTTTGTCGTAAACAATCTGAATAAATACCACTTTCATTTTAAAAAATTGTGTCGTTTCAAATTTGTGGTTATGTCTTTCATCACAACTGTTATTTGTATATTTTCAAAACTATTTATATGCTCAAAACCACAGAAAAAAATTATGTGAGTCTAATTTTTACTTTTTTACTATGGTAGTTGTCGTAAATAATCTGAATAAATGCCACTTTCACTTTAAAAAGTTGTATCGTTTCAAATTTGTGGTTATGTTTTTTATCACAACTGTTATTTGTATCTTTTCAAAACTATTTATATGCTCAAAACCACAGAAAAAAATCATGTGAGTCTAACTTTTACTTTCTTACTATGGTAGTTATCATAAATAATCTGAATAAATGCCACTTTCATTTTAAAAAGTTGTATCTTTTCAAATTTGTGGTTGTGTCTTTTCATTATAAATGGTTGTATTTTTTCATCACAACTGTTATTTCATTTTTATGTCTTTTCAAAACTATTTATATTACTCAAAACCACATAAATATTTTTTATTAGGATCTAATATTTACTTTCTTACTATAGTGGATATTTTTTTTTATCGTATACTTATTTATATATCATAACATATTATCAAGATACAAAATGTTTAAAAGTTTTGAAGGTTCAGATATTGAATTTGAGTAAAAGATTCCATTTCGGAGTTCAATTTTGGCTAAAATATGATAAATTTCATTACAAAATTGTTTTACATGCATTACATCAGAAAAATAAAATTCATTCAACCAAAATCTAATGATATTTTTATTATTAAAAAATTATATGTGTTTTGTTTACTAATATATATAATGTTATATAATTTTTTGTTAACAGTATGAATAAATGCCATATACACTTTAAAAAGTTGTGTCGTTTTAAAATTTGTGGTTGTGTCTTTTCATTATAAATAGTTGCATCTTTTCATTATAAGTGGTTGCGTTTTTTTCATCACAATTGTTATCTGTGTCTTTTTAAAACTATTTATATTGCTCAAAACCGCAGAAAAAAAATCATTCGGTCTACCTTTTACTTTCTTACTATGGTGTATTTTTTTATCGTAAACATATTTATTTATCATAACATGTTATCAGGATACAAAGGGTTTAAAAATCCTGGAAGTTCAGATATTAAATTTGAGTAAAAGATTCTATTTGAAAGTCCAGTTTTAGCTAAAATATGAGCAGTTTTATTACAATATTGTTTAATATACATTACATCAGAAAAATAAAATTTATTCAACCAATATCTGATGATATTTTTATTATAAAGAAATTATATGTATTTTGTTTACTAATATATATTATGTTTTTTTTATGAAAAACATCTATATATTTATAGTTAATTGTGTTATTTTCAAATTTTAATATTCTCTGTTAGTTGTTTATAAATTTAAGGTACCTAATATTTGGATTTTTTTTCTAATTTCAGAGAAATATACTTCTGTAATGTAATAAATTTTCATATATTTTATATATTTGTTTAAGGTATGAAAGTTTTTGTTTATATTTTAACTAATATATTTTTAATGTACTTTTAAATATTGCGAATCTTTTTTAGAAACTATAGTAGTCTAAAAAAATGTATTAAAAAATCTTGTTACATTATTTTTTCTTATATATTTTTTCTGTAGTATTTTTTAAAATATCAAATTTTTATAATAATTCTTTGTTTCTAAATTTTAAATAGTAAATGTATAGTTATATAAATTTGTTTCTTGAAAGATTGCCTCTATATTTATTTTTTACTTTACACTTTTGCACGAATACAAATTATTAATAATTATACAAATAAAAGGTTGCATATTTATATCATTTATTTATATTATATATATTTATAACTTTTTAACACTCTTAAAAATTTGTGTATTTTATTACTTTTCAGATTTTTTATTTTTTCTATTAATAATTAGTAATAATAGTCCTAAAATACATATTTTATCATAATTAATTTGTATATTTAATTCCAAAAAAAAATGAAAAGATACTTTTTTATTTAAAGTAATTATAAGTTGTTTTGGATGTTTATATTTTTTTATTATTACTTTTTATTTTATAGATTTTACTTATAATTATTTTAGATAAAATTCTGTTTAATTTTTAATATATCGCAGGTTAACCCTGCAAAGCGGAATTCCTATTCCTAGTTTAATTAAAAATATTAAGTAAAAATCATATTATTAAATTAGGGCATCAGACGATCCTAATTTCAACAAGTTTAACAGGTTTTATTAAACACCAGCTAAAAGGAAAATAGGGTTCTGCGCGAGATTGGGTGATATGGAGAAGGAGCAATCCTCAGGACCACCGTTTCTGATGACGTCACTTCCCGAAGACATCATCATTGACATCTTAGCGCGAGTACCGAGATACAACTATCCAACTCTTTCCCTCGTCTCAAAGCATTTTCGATCACTGTTAGGTTTCACCGAACTCTCTCTCTATGTTTTCATCTATAACCCACAAACCACTGATGAACGTTGGTATGTTCTCCGAAATCGCCGCTTTCCGATATGCCTTATCGTTATCGTGCTGTAAGCTCGGTAGCTGTAGGCTCGACGATATATGCGTTTTGTGGGATTGACAATGACAAGACGACAACGAGTGCGTTTGCCATCGATTGTATATCTCACACGGCGCAACCTCTCACCAGCATACCTGCGCCCATGTGTAATACAATCGCTGACATCATCGATGGAAAGATATACGTAATTGGAAACAACTATTTTGATGACCGCTGGAAGAAGGTGATGGTGGTGTTCAATATAGAAACACAAAAGTGGGAGAAACCTGTGATTATAAAGGCAGGCATTGATTATAATTATGGCTGTGTGGTGATGGCTGATACGCTGTACAGGAGGGATGATGATAACAGCTTTGTTTACGCTCTAAAGGAAAATAAATGGGAAACAGACGAGATGCTGAATTTAAAGGAGTGGGAGAATGCGTGTGTCGTTGATGATCTTAAGAGCGTATGATCCGAAGCAGAGATGTTGGGGAGTGGTGAATGGTTTGGAAGATTTGTTGGCTAAGACAAGACTTGCATGGTGGTCAAAGACTGTGAGTTATGGTGGGAGACTAGCTTTGTTTTTTAACCCTAAAAGTAGGCTGGAAATGAAGCATACAACCGAAAATGGAAAAATAGGCTGGAAATAGTCATCTAGGACACATAATAGTACAAGGAGAGCATCTACTACTTGTATCTCATTCCAGAGAAGATATCTGAAATGAAGATCCGAAATTGGTCTACTAGCCGAAAATAGGAAAAACGGACTTCTGATGAATCGTACAAAGAAAATGGAGTAAATAGGCTTGAAATAGTCATCTGGGACTCAAAATACTAAAAAGAGAAGACTATGTTACTTGTATCTCATTCCGTAAAAGAGTTCCCAAATGAAGATCCGAAACTGGTCTACTAGACGAAAATGGATAAAACGGACTTCTGATAAATCATACAAATAAAAATGGAGTAAATAGGCTGAAAATAATTATCTGGAACTCATAATAGTACAAGGAGCGTATGATCCGAAGCAGAGATGTTGGGGAGTGGTGAATGGTTTGGAAGATTTGTTGGCTAAGACAAGACTTGCATGGTGGTCAAAGACTGTGAGTTATGGTGGGAGACTAGCTTTGTTTTTTAACCCTAAAAGAGAGATTTGGTGTGCGGAGATATCGCTGGAAAAACGTCAAGGAGGAGAGATTTGGGGTAAACTTGAGTCGTGTGGTATTGTTTTGACTGGAAATTTTTGCTCTAGAAATTCTCTAGCTGTTATGGTTTAATGCAGGAACTCTTCTTCATATGATTCTTGTGTTTTTATTTTTTATTTTATATTATTAACTGCTTTGTCCAAACTCCTAAATGACTTTTCTTTTCATTACTGATTTTGTTACTGTCTGTTGGCCGTAGGTTTTTAAGTAATATTTGGAGAGTTATTCAAGTAGTTTGATTTTCATGTTTACTACATGCATAATATATACTACAATGTCAATAAGAGGGTATAATAAGATTTGTCAACAAATCATGATAAATTCACCCTTCTTCCTCTTTAATTGGGAACACATGCCATTGCCACTTGCTTAGGAGGTGTAGGCCAGGATCAGATGCCAAAGGCTCTTGCCTTCTATGTGAGCTTCCCGTATCTCCCTCCTCCATATGCTACGGATGCGTGTATTGTTACTCGTTCGTTCACCACAAGTGCTTTGATCTCCCGACAGAGACTCAACATCCCGTGCATCCAGCACATCCTCTCCGACGCCTTAGTTACCAACGAACATGTCATGTTCAAAGACGTTGTAATGCGTGCCATTTGATAATCTTGGGTGTCCCGTGTAGCTTCCGAAATGCAATATTGACCTCCATCTAAGGTGTGCAGATTCCTTGTTACGAGGTCTGATACACAGGTCTCATAAGCACAAGTCTCTCGTCAAGAAATCTTTTCACACTCATCCACTAGTGTGCAAAATATTCTTAGGCAATGACGGGTCTTTTGAGTATTGTGGCGTGTGCGAGACAATGGTACATGCGGGACATCATGCTTACTCTTGCGAAGAATGTGATTTTCTTGGTCACATTGGATGCACTCTACGCGAGGTAATTGATATTTCCTTTGTTTCTAAAAGACCTATTTAAAAAAAAAAAAATCTTATTTCATAAAAGTTAAATTTTCTAAAAAAACTTACATTATATTAGTTGATGTTAATAAACTGTAAAAGATACAAAATATATATTACTTAACAAATTAAAAACTATAAGTTCACAGTTATGGAAAGGTGTTTAGCGCAAAAAAACAATGCATTTAATTATGTAACTAAATTTTAACACTAAAAACTCATTTTATTAGAAACAAAAGGAGTATGTAAATGCGATTCATCTGTATTTTTTTCCCTAATGATGATGGTTACTTTATAAACAACAGGAAGAGCCATCGCCTTTGTACTTGAAAATTTTATATTTATGTGGTAAAGACGTCACAAGAGCAACTAACCAGAAGACGGTGAAGCGAACATATTGGAAACCAAACTTATGGTGTGTCTTATAGTCGTCGATTATACACTGGTCTAAGAAAGTATAAATGCTTTCTTTCTTTTAAGCCAGCCGTCCCTAACTTTTTCCATATAGCAGGTTAATGATACAGTGCATATTCATGTGATGAGACCGATCCACATGGGGGAGCTCGGCGAAAAAGAAGATTGCAACATTTGTAAAGATCAAATACTTGGTAACCCATGTAAATGCACATCATGCAGCTTCCAGACACATCATTCGTGTGCAGAGCTCGGGTAACCATAAAAAAATCGGCTTCTTCACTGGGAACACCCTTTAACACTCCTGCCTTCGCCACCTACACAGGAGTCAATGCACTGTAACAGCTGCAAAAATAGTATTTTGGGGTTCAATCTCTTCTGTCGAATATGCAATTTTATCATTGACATCAGGTGCGCCTTCATAGGTAAACATTCTATTGGGTTGTTAGGGAAAAAAGTCACCGGATAATGGAGAGGAAATTATTGCATCAATCGCAAGCACGAGATAGTTCAGGTTATCGTATCGAGGTCGTGTATGACTGATTGTGCTATTTGTTCTGAGAAGCTCTATGGAAAAGCTCTATCATGCATGTCTTGTGAAGAGATATATCATTCTCGCTGTCTTGAACTCTGGAGAGGGCCAGTGTTTGATCATCCACTTCATCCGAATCACTTACTTGCAATGAGAGTTACAAGTGGTGCCAACTGCATTGCCTGCAAGATGAATATTCCAAAGCATGGATATAGTTGTTACGTTTGCAATATGAGTTTCCACATCGAATGCATCAAAGCTGTGATTATATCAACAAAGATCAAGTCTCACGTCCACTATATTTATAATTTTTGGATGCAAGACTTACGGTTGACACAAGCCTGCAGTGTTTGTGCTAAACCATGTGGAGTTTCCTTCTACGGTTGTGTTGATTGTAACTTTAACGCCCATGTAGAGTGTGTTGGGGTTGCAACCATTGTGAGGAGCCAGCAACATCAACATTCTGTCGTGCAAAAGCATATTTATGACAAGAAAATTTGTTCTCTCTGTGGATCAGAATGCTCTGGTTATATTTATCGCTGCAAGCACTGCCACGACTGGTTTCATATAAAATGCTTAATGCCTATGGTAGAGGATTCCATAAATCATTCATTCTCTTGTTATTATTTATTATTATTATTTTTTCTGAACAAATTGTTTTTATTTATTTATTTCAACATCTATTTTTTTTTCTGCTATGTCGTAGGATGACCGTAAAGCAGCAACAGAAGAAGAACAACTATGTCACATATATCTTACGTACCTTGAGCGGGATCTCTTAGACCTTTTGAAGACAGTAAATCTTCGAATGATTCTTCCTCCAACTATGAATCGAGTTTAGCAGCTTCCTCCACCTCGAATGATATAGAGGTTATGGTTTTAAATCCTCTCAATTTATTGTTTTGGATAATTTATATATTTTGCTTCATCTGTGTGTTTCCTTTCTCTTGACTTCCAAAGTTCCTTTTTTTTGCAATTTTATCGTTTATTTACTTGTGTTTTCTCGATTATTGGTTTTTGCGTGTGAGTGACGTACACAGGGATGTTATGTCTTTCATTAGCTTCACCAGTGCTCCTCTCTCTCCTTTTCCATTTTCATGTGAGAACACGAATCAACAAATTTCTTCTCGTTCTTTGTAATTTTAAGTGAAGGCTCCAAAAACGAATATTTTTAACATTCATACCATATATATATATATATATATATATATATGTTAAGAAAGTGAAACGATTAAATAGAATGAATTAGACCATCTTCATCCATAAGAACTCCTAAGGATATCTCAAACAAATAAAAAAATATATTTTTAATATAATTAGAATTTATAATTAAATTCAAGTATAATGAAAATATATGTACCAATCAAAAGAGAACAAATGTTTTTAGTGTTTTAACAAAAAAATTTATAAAATTATTCACAATTTAGAAAAATCTAAAACGTTCATCTTTTAAAAACAAAAAGATTATATACATAACAAATAAATAAATATAATTTCAAAATTATCACAACTGTATTTTACATACGTGGATATAAAATTATCTATTATTTTTACAAAAATAAACTTATAAAATTTTATTATACATTACTTATTAAAAAATATATATACAATATATTTACCAAAAATAGAGTAGCATTAATTCTATTTTAAATATTAATATATTATATTTCTATATGTAAAATATAACACAAAAATATTATGAAAAGAAATTAAATGAAAGGAGAAATTTAAGGCTCTTAAAGCCATCCACATCATATTATTAAAATTATTCTCTCTTTTTGCCACATCAGCAAGAAAGCATTAATAAAAAAATTATTTTAATTTTTTTAAAAATACATATAAATAAATAAATAGTACTACTAAAACTAATATAGTTACTAACAAAAATTAAATAAAATTAAAATATCTTTTTGAATCAGTAAAATAAACATTATTTAAATCTATAGCATTAATATTAGAGATGAGATTCATACTATCTCTAAAAGCCCGATATGAACTCTGGTCGGCCAAATAAATGGAAATCATCTATTTATCGGACCAAATCCAGAAAAGACAGAAGATTGGCCTTATCGGCAAAGACAATTTTCCTATTTCGGATTCGCAGTTATCTCCAAGAAACCGACCTGATCGGCTATAAATAGAGGAAGTTTTCGACTTCTCAAAGCATCCAAAAATCCTCTCTCGAGACCTAGGGCAAACTAATCAATCTTATTGTTCTTAGCTCTCGATTTTATCTCCATAAAAGTTTGGATCGGCGTTCTTATTTCGACGACCTAAACCATTGTGTACCTTCTCAAGCTCCAGCATATTTATAATAAAATATCTCTCTTTAACCCACAAACTTTCGTTCATTCTTAGGTCGGATTTGAGTTACCACAGTTGGCGCCGTCTGTGGGGAATAAGAGAAATCTTTAAAAAAAAAAAAAGAGGAGCTTGAAGATGGTTGAAACACCTATCAACCTCGATGCTACCAACCTCATCGGAAGAGCCCCCGATCTCACCAGAGTTAACACCCAGGAGCCCATCATCGAACCAGTCACCAGACTCCCGGTGGTTAACCAGACCAACTTGCAGGAAGACGACGCTGCTGCCACGCAGAACACCCATGAGACAGACCAGGTCGGCCAAACTGGCAGAACAAACCAGACCGACCTGCCACAGCCACCTCCCATCGATATGGCCGGCCTCATCACATCGGTCGCGGCACAGCTACAACAGGGCATGGATGCTCGGTACGAGTCCCTCCGCGCTGAACAGATCGCTTACCAAGAGAACTTAGATCGGCTTCTCAACGCTAGGGTCCATACCCAAGAACAGGTCGATCTGACCACGCCCCCACACCAGCTGATCCGCAACGCAGAAATGACGAGGCTGATGAATAACCTGTTCGGCACCACACCGACAGACGACCTACGAATAGCACAGGTGGAAGGCTCTAACGCCCGTTCATCCTGAAACACCACAGGTGCCGATCTGACGACAGCCTCAGAGCTAGATCTTCTCCACCAGCGCCTTGACGACATAAGCACCAAGGTCCACAAAGCGATGACCTCGGCCCCTGAGTTAGACAAAATACTCCAGCAGACGCAGCAGACACCGTTCACGTCGGCCATCACCAAAGCCCCACTCAAGAACATTCGACATATGAAACTGCCTCCCAGCTATATTGACACGACCGACCCAAAGCGACATCTGACCATGTTTAAGGCAGTCATGGGACGAGCTCGCTTTACGGACGTAGAGCGAGACGTGTGCCTCTGTCAATAATTCGTAGAATCGCTTTGTGGAAGCGCCCTCACATGGTTTTTGCAGCTCCCTCTTAATTCCATCGACTGTAACAAGGAACTCACGAGTCGTTTCCCGAAACACTATTCGATCTACATCGACGTAGAATCTACAGCACTCGATTTATGGGCGTGCATCCAGGGCGATACAGAGCCGTTGCGCGATTACAACAATAGTTTCCGATCCATAATCTCCCGATGCAGCTTATCAGATGAACTCTCTCTCAACATCCTGATCAGAAATTTGAGAGACGACCAGTCCTACTACCAAAGGTTGAAGACTGGCAAAACTAAGACGTTGGAAGATGTTTTGCATAAAGCAAACGACTACATCAGGCTCGAGGAGGACAAGGCGGCCAAAACCAAGTTGGCCGACGAGAAGACTTCGCACGACAAGAAACATCGGTCGTTAAATCAGAAAAGCCATCAGGAGCTTCGACAGCACTATGACAGAGATGATAAGAGCCACAAGAGTATTAACGCCGCCAGTCGGCAGATGAGGTGGAATATTTGGGATCGCGAGAGCGCCAAAGATCCCGATAACAAGAAGTCATGGTGCAAATACCATAAGGCGCTCAGCCATCACACCGATGATTTTCGTACTCTTCCAGCCCTCTTGCGGAAGGCATGGGAAGATGGTGAGTGCACCATACCAGAGCCCCAAATTCTAGCACGACAATCAGATAATGATCATGACAGGCGACCTGACAGCGATCGAGATAAAAGATCCGATGCTGATCATCCATCTACCAAACGCGAAGGGAAGGAAACAAAAAATGATCGCGAGGACAACCACACACCCCGACTTCGCCTCGACGATGAATCAACATGATCATGGGAGGACTCCTCTCATGCACTGACTCTATCAACTCGATCAAACGGCACGAGCAAAAAGCCGCTAATCCACCGAAGGACGAACCACCACTTTTTAAAGACGACCTCCCGATTGTGTTCACCAAATAGGATACGCAGAATATAGATCGGTCGCGCAATGATCCACTCGTCATCTCGCTTCGGCTCAGAGAAGACGACGTTTCGATGATATTGATCGACACATGAAGCTCGGTCGACCTCATCTTCATGGACACGCTACGCAAGATGAGCATCACTGAACGAGATATCAACATCGCACCATCACCCCCTCACTGGATTTGCTAGAGATTGAATCTCGACGATCGGGACCATAACGATGCCAATTACCATAGGAGGAAAATCTATTATGGTCACATTCAAGGTTATTGACCGACCTGCGATCTACAATGCCATCCTGGAAACACCCTGGCTGAACGCCATACGAGCCGTCCCATCTCCCTATCACCAGTGCATCAAAATGCCGATCAGAAGCCGTATCTTCACCATTCGTGGTGATCAGACAGTATCTCGGCATTGTTACGTCGACAAAGAGCGCGCCCGTAAGGCATCAATGTTCGTGATTGGTAGCAGTAATGACTTTGATCCACGAATAGTTCACCACGAGAAGCCGAAGAGCGACCTCATTATTCAAGTCAACATCAATGTTGCTCACCCCGACCGTTGCATCGGCATTGGCACAGAGCTATTGCCAAGTATGCAGCACGAGCTGATCACTTTCCTCCGGGAGAATGTCAGAACGTTCGCGTGGTCAATGGCCGATATGAAAGGCATCAGCCCTCAAATCACCGATCATGAGTTACACGTTGATCCCACCTTCAAGCCGATCAAACAGAAGCGACATAAATTGGGACCTGAGCGGGCACAAGCCATACACGATGAAGGCCGGATCAATTGTCGAAGTCAAGTACCTGGAATGGCTCGCCAACCCGGTGGTAGTCAAGAAGAAAAATGGGAAGTGGCAAGTCTATGTAGATTTCACATACCTCAACAAAGCTTGCTCGAAGGACAGTTTTCCTCTTCCTCGTATCGACTACCAAGTCGAGGCAACTGCGAGCAACGAACTCCTCTCTTTCATGGATGCGTTCTCAGGATATAACCAGATTCTCATAAATTCGGACGACAGTGAGAAGACCGCATTCATCACGGATTGAATAACTTATTGCTACAAGGTCATGCCGTTCGGTCTGAAGAACGCAAAAGCCACTTATCAGCGCCTTGTCAACAAGATGTTTGCCGATCAGCTTGGGAAGACAATGGAAGTATACATTGACGACATGCTCGTCAAGTCAGACAAGGCAGCCGACCACATCGTTCATCTCTGCGAGAGTTTCATAATACTCAACAAATACGGCATGAACCTCAACCCTGCGAAATGTACCTTTGCAATCACATCGGGAGAACTTTTGGGATACTTAGTCACTCAACGCGGAATCGAAGCCAACCCCAAACAGATCTCCGCGATCTTAGAGCTACCCTCACCAAGTAATACCCGCAAAGTCCAACGCTTGACAGGCAGGATATCTGCTCTGAATCGATTCATATCGCGATCCACCGACAAGTGCCTACCTTTATACCAACTCCTCCGAGGTAACAAACGATTCGAATGGGATAAGAGGTGAGTAGAAGCGTTCCTGCA